TTGGTATTTAATACAACTCCATCGGATTCTTTTCTTTCCCCTGAAATCTTATTCACTGAAGAAATCTTAATTAAGAAGGCAAGGAATTGGTCTAAATGCATATGTGATGTAATAAATATCTGACAGGCCGTTTGCACACCGACCTCACCAATGAGCTAGGATGGAGCACAAGCCTGTAACTGGGCTCAAGGGCAGCTTGAAGCCATCACTGCTGAATAACACTAACAGCTGCTGTCTTTTTAAAACTCTCCGAGGTTCATATTGTAGGTTTCCTTCCAGTTTCCAGTGGGATGGGAGACACCGCCAGTATAAATCTTGTTGTCACAAAAGAACAAGTTATAGTATATATTCAACCACACACACACAAAAACTTTCAAATAACATTAACTTAAACCCACAAAACCAAGGAGAGTCAGAAGCAAAGCTGAAACCCTGTCCTTAAGTCACCCCCATTGTGTTTAGATCTTGCAGAATACTAAACTCATCACAAGTATCGCCAGGGCTGTGTCTTCAGAATATTGAGACAATAAGTCAAATTGGTTTATAAAAAGAAAGAAAAAAAATCTCGTAGTTTAAGTCAGGTTGACAAAGAAAATACAAACCAGCCTCCTTTTGTGAATTTTCATCTCCATTGTCTTCAGAATATTGAGACATAAGTCAAATTGGTTTATAAAAAGAAAGAAAAAAATCTCGTAGTTTAAGTCAGGTTGACAAAGAGAATACAAACCAGCCTCCTTTTGTGAATTTTCATCTCCATGTGTGAACCTATACACCCATTTCAACACCCAGAAAGTATCAAATGCTGAAAGGGAAGTGAAGCTTGGTGCAACTTGGAGATTTCTTCCCAAGCATTCTGGGTCTAAGCAAAGGTTTTTATCAAACAAGTCTGGTTGTTATTTGGCTTAACAATGTACATACTCTCTTGGTTGATTCATCAGTAAATTTTTGAATTATTGTATTTTTCCATGGTCACTTGATCTAAATCATTAGGATGCCCAGCTATCCTTGGGAATCCAAAGAACTACAAGCACTATCAAATATGAGACAGAAATGCTCTTTGTAAGGCAGTAAAGCTTAGTGGTAAGGGCCTGAGATTATAGTCAGACAGAACTGGGTTTCAAACCCAACCCAGCAGTCACTTACCAACTGTGTGACCTGAGCAGGGAACTCACCTCTTTGAGTGATGGATATTTTACCTATAAACACCTACCTTACAGGGTTGCCATAGAGGATTAATTGAGATGTTTGTGAAGGCCTTTGCCTGGAGCATGGTAAAACTTCCATAAATGGTATCTACATCTGCAAGCATCGAAACGTTTCCAAAGAGGCAAAACAAGGGCCCTTTAAGATCAAGATTGGAGGATGCTAAAGCTTTCTAGAGGCAAAAAGAATTTGCTTTCATCACATGGGAAGTAAATTTCACAGAGGGAAAGGCTGTGAAACTGAATCATTCATTCCACAAATATGTCAATTATGTGCCAGGCATTGGGGAATTTGAAGATGTACAAGATAGAAATGGTCCCTGCCCTCCAGAAAATAACAGTCTAGAAGGCATGCAGACACAGAAATGGGCAATTACAGCAAGGGGTCTGGTCAGGGTCCCATCTCTTCCACACAGGGCCCTGGAGCCCCCTAACCTCACCAGAAACCACACCAGGGTCCCTCCCTGTGCTGACACCCCACTCTCTGCCAATCCAGGAACAGGACTTGAAATCTGTAAACCAGGCCTTTCTAAGCTATAAGAACTTCATAGAATGAGCAAACCATTTCCAGCCAGTGACTGAGACTTAGAACTTGAACTGTCCCTAGGCTACTGCTATGAACCGAATGTCACGGGCTGTACTGTGTCTCCTCAAAATTCAAATGTTGAAGTCCTAACTTCAGAATCTGCCTGTATTTGAAGGTAGAAGCTTCTATAGGGATGAGTACATTAAAATAAGGCCATTCTTGTGGGCCCCTAATCCAATCTGGCTGGTATTCTTATAAAAAGAGGAGATGGGAACATACAAACAACAGGGATGCACATGCATAAAAGGCCCTGTGAGGACACAGAGAGAAGGCAGCCACCTCCAAGCCAAGGAGAGAGGCCTCCAAAGACACCAAACCTGCCAACACCTTGATCTTGGACTTCCAGCCTCCAGAACTGTGAGAAATAAATTTCTGATGGGTAAGCCCCCAGTCTGTGCTATTTTGTTATGGCAGTCTGAGTGGATCAGTATAGCTTCTTTCCTTAGTGAAACAGGGAAGGCAGCAGAGAAATGGAACCTCTGTGCCCATGAGGAGACAGCAGAGTATTGGGTGAATGAAAGAGGGAGTTGATGCTGATTTCAAAGGCACATGATGCCCGGTGAAGTGGGCCATCTCTCTGAAAAAAGTTTTCTTGATAAAGGTATTGCCCAACACTATTTTTACCCACCCAAGCACCTACTCACACATAACTACTGACAATTGGTTGGAATATTTCCCTAGTCAAGTGATCCCAGCAGGAACTTCACAGAATAATGCCAGGCATGTAAGAATAAGGGCTTATATTGAGCACATATTACATGGCAATCACTGACCTAAGCATGTTACCTCTATTAACAAATGCAATCATTGTACAAACTATGTCTTAGTTTCCCAGGGCTGCCATAACAAGTTACTAAAAAGTGGGTGGCATAATGCAACAGAAATGTATTGTCACAGTTCTGAAGTCCACAGGCTAAAGGCTAGAAGTCCAAGATCAAGGTGTCAACAGAGCCATATTCTTTCTGAAATTGTAGGGGAGAATCCTTCCTTGCCTCGTCCAGCCTCTGGTGGTTGCTAACAATCCTTGGTGTACTTGACTTATAATTGCATCACTCCTATTTCTGCTTCCATTGCCACATGATGACCCCTCACACCCCACCCTCATGTTTCTGTTTTCTTATAAGGACACCAATCATTGGGTTAAGGTCCACCTTAGTCCAGTATGACCTAATTTTAATTTAACCAATACCATCTGCAAAGACATGATTTCCAAATACGGGTACATTCTCAGGTTCCAAGTAGACATGAATTTTGGGGGACATTATTCAGGCCAGTGGATAGATACTGCTATTATGTTAGTTTTAGAGAGGGAAAAACCTGGACACAGAGGTGAAATAACTTTCCAAGTTTTCCCAGATGATCAATGACAGAGCCAAGGTATATCTCCAAAGCCCATGTTCTAACTGCTACACTATGCTGCCTTTCAAAACATATTTCCCAAGTGAATGAATAAAATAGTCACAAATGGTCATATGCCAGCATGCTTGATTATGTTGCCCTAACTTCATTCCCAACCAGTAACTTCCCTGCTTTTTGCTTCTATGTTGTCCCTTTTCAAGTCCATCCTCCACATGATGATCAGATGTATCATTTCAAAACACAGATCTGATCATTTTACAACAGTTCTTAAAATTCAAATTTGTAACTTAGCAGGGCAGCCAATATTATTCACCCATTGGACTAAGCACCATGTGGGCAGGGCTTATACCTATTTTTGCTCACCACTGTACCCTTAACAACAAACACAGGTCCTTAGTGCACAAAAGGCCTTCAAAATTCATTAAGTTAGTGGAGGGATGAATGAATGAATGAATGAATGAATGAATGAGTGATCTGGGCCATCTCCAGTCTCAGCTCCTCCTGCTTCACTTAAACTGTTTCACACCTCTCACCTCTCACTATCCATTTGCATTTTCAGTGTTGTACTCACACTTGGCAACTCATATCATGAATTAAATGATGCACCTCCATGTCTTTGCTTATGCTGTGCCCTATGCCAGGTATATCCTAATCACCCTTAAAGGCCCACCTCAAACCTCCCCTCTACAATGGATACATTTAGATAACACACACACATCTCACATTCACAAATTGCTTCTATACACAAGGGTACCATAGAACTTCATGATGTCACCAATATTGCATTTACTTTGCTCTATGACATCTAGTTGTAAGAGGCTTCTTCTAGGTGCCACTTTTAAGAGATCTTTGGGGACAGGGGCTCTATCTTTTCCATTTGACATCATGAGTATCTAGCATCAGAGGGTGGACGCTCGATAAATATTTGTTGGATAAATGACTGAATATGTAGTCTAATGTCAATGTGTACATAAATACAGCTTTTATTTCTATTTTGACTAAGACTTGACTATGCATATACAGAATCCAATTCCTAAATGATGAGGCAATTTCTTGGCTTTCAAAACTACCCAAGCACAGATGTCACACAGTTAAGAGAAGGTTAAAGCTAAGTTTTGGTTCAAAACAGACATCCTAGGAACAAACACTGAAATGCAGTGGGGGCCCCTGCCACTCCCTGAATTCCTATTTGTCTATGTGATGGGTGAGTAGATGAAGAGATGAAGAAACTGACGGCATGATCCCAGCATTAAGGATTGTTTTTACATAAGTGACACAGTTTTATAGCTTTGTTGTTTTTAAATCACATCTGGAGTCAATTTCAAAAATCAATAAGTCTATTTACTCACTTCCCATTAATATTATTATGGGAGATAGTATGACATAGAGGTTAAGAGCGTGGACTTTGGAATCAGAGAAACAAAACACACTCTATTGTCCCCTGTCTTTAATATATAGGGATACATATACATGTCCATTATTTCTTTCTCCTATCATTTCCTCATTCATTCTGTGGTCTCCTGCTATGTGTTTAATGCTGTTCTTAATGTAAATAAATAAATTAGAAGACAGTTCCAACTGTCAAGTTCTGAGCACAGACTAGTGGGAAAGACATATATTTATGTTGGGTACTCAACAATTCAGTTGGTTTACTCAGGAAATATATGTTGAGCCCCTGCTCTGTGCCAGACACTTTGCTAGGTTCCAGAAATGCAGTGGTGACATCGAGTGAGGCACGGCTACCGTAACAGTGAGCCCCCAAATAATTCGGTGGTTTGAAGAAGATTGAAGTGGATTTCCTACTCATGTAGCAATTAGAGAAAAGGCTCATGTTGGTGGGTAGCTCTGCTCACCTGGTCATGTGGAAACGCAGGTTTCTTCCCTCACCTTCTGCCATCCCATGAGAGGCTTTGCCATCCACTCTATGTATGGTGGACACTGGGTCACAATTAGTTCAACTGGCAAGAAGAGGAAGGAGAAATAAAAGTGCCATCCATCAGTTGTGCCCACCTTCTATTTGTAGAAACTTAATCATGAGGCCACTCGTAACTAGTAGGGAGGCTGGAAAATGTAGGCAGTGGGCAGCCACTTTCTGCATTTCTATCATTAGAGAGAAGAGGAGAATGGGCTTAGGCAGACAGCTAGTCATCTTGTCCTTGGTGAGCAAAGTCTTCACAGTACCTCCACATTTTATGTGCTCACAATCCAGAGGGGAGGTGGAAAATAGTCAAATCCTTATGAACTATGGTAAACAGCATGATGGCAAAGTACAGGGGTCATAAGAGCATAGAATGGGGAGCCTGACCTGGTCAAGTCCAGAGCATTCAGGAAGCAGGGATAGTCCAGGGAAAGGCTTGGCAGCCATTGGGGAGGGGCAGTACAGAAGCTCAGACTCTGGAGCCAGACTTCCAGGCTTAAGTCTTAGCTCTAAAATTTACCAGCTGCATAATCCAGGATGAGTTATCTAACCCCTTTGTGCCTTAGTTTCCTCATTTGTAAAAGAATTATTATTATACTAGAGGCCCGGTGCATGAAATTCATGCACGGAGGGGTAGGGGGGGTTCCCTCGGCCCAGCCTGCACCCTCTCCAATCCAGGACCCCTCAGGGGATGTACGACTCCTGGTTTAGGCCCAATCCCTCTCACAATCTGGGACCATTGGCTTCTAACTGCTCACCTGCCTGCCTGATTGCCCCTAATTCCCCCCCCCCCGCCAGCCTGATCCCCCCTAACTGCCCCCTCTGCCGGACTGGTCACCCCCAACTGCCCCCCCTGCTGGCCTGGTCATCCCACGCAGCCTGCTGTTCAGTCCTTTGGTCATCCCTCACTAACCCCCCTGCCAACCTTGTCGCCCCACGCAGCCTGCTGGAACAAAGTCCGGTTGTTTCAGTCGTGACAGCCCTGGCTTTTTATATATTAGGGTAGTATAGTAGTTATTATCACCACTATTATATCATGATTTCTTTGTCATGAAGGTTATTGTGCTGCATTACAATGTGTGCTTAATATAGCTAACACTATCTAGGGGTTTGGGGAAAATGCATATCCTGAGGCCAGGAGGTTAGCAAATAGTAGCTTAGGTGGGTTATCTAGTGATGGTTACTTAGGATTTTCTAAATAAAGGCACAGGTATTGATTATGCCAGGTAATTCAAGAGTTTCTAAGTTCTGCCTTTCTGTCTGTGAAAAAGCACAGGCTTAACATATGCCCAATACATCGAATGAGGGGTGTCAAACCAGGAAATCTTTGCGCTGCTGCCTAGAGTAGGTGCAAATGATGGTATTTGTATGTTCTACATTCATACAGGGAGTATCATGAGGTGATCGTTAGGAATCTCAATCTATATGCTCAGGTGAATATTTCTAATCCTTTGTGTGTCTCGTTCTTTGCTTTTTAAAAGTCAATTATAAGTTGTAAGTCCCCATTACTCTGTGCAGTTGGGGTATTCAAAGATCATTTGGGGATCGCTCCTAATACCTGGTACTTCGTAGGTTCCAGGGTCTTAGGTAGCACCCTTAATCAGAGAGGCCCTTTTATTCACCAGTCACTATAGAGATGGATTAGCCCTGAATTGTTTTATTCTCTGCTCAATGGTCCCCTCATGTTGTGGGATTGTGAAGTGACTCTGAGGAGTCCTGTGTTTATTCTTGGCCTCCTCTGCCACTGTCCCCTCTGGGATCCCGCAATCTCCTTGGAGCACTGCTCACAGAAACCACAAACCTCTGACTCCTTCCTACTGTCTGAGAACTATTTTTTTAGTCTGGGAAGAATCTCACTCTTTACAGTTTCCTCAAGGTCATTTCCTCTCTCCTCAGACTCTCCAGACTACTGCCCTAGAAAATGTCCTTAATCCCACGGAATCCTGAACACAAAAGCCAGGAAAGGTCATTGTTTGTGTCTTCTGTTCTCTGCTACATACCTGATGGACAGGGAGGCAAGATCCCATGGCCTGCTTAACTGGGGGACAGGAAGGAAGAAGGTGAAAAAAATGATCTTACTACAATTAGCAATGTGTTTCTGTACCACTAAGGAGCCATTGGCATCAGAATCTCTTCTAAAATTGCCTCACTCAGAGATAAGTCTTTTCCTCTCTACCCCAAGATATCAGGCCAAAATATAGGACTCCTCTGGCAGCAGCCAATACCAGACAAATGGACAAGGAGCTGAAGTGCATAGGCCTCCATTTAGTGTGTGTGTGTGTGTGTGTGTGTGTGTGTGTGTGTGTGTGTGAGTTTACATTCATTAGTTTTGATTAGTTGAATTTGTTATTGATTATTAAAATTCTGCAGTTTTCACATTAAGTCAGGATGGCTGGCACTTCTTTTGAAAACAAAAGTGGACTCTCAAAATACTGAATTTATATTCCCAAATGGCAACCCTGGAGCTGAGTGGAGCCCCTGTCCTCTGGTTTCCCACAGACCCAACACCTCTAACTCCCTAAAACCCAGTTATGATGCCAATGTCAGGTATCACTGAAATTCTGATGTCATTTCCTTACTGTAGAGTTAGAAGAAAATAACTACTTGATAGACTCATGTTTCATGTAGGGAAATGAAATACAGACAAAAGGGCATTTTAGCTTTAAGAAAAGTGGGAGTGAGGACATTTCCTTGTGGAAATGAAATATATTCCTACATGTCTAAGAGTACAACTTAAGAGTAGAGTTGCCAGATAAAATATAGGGCATGAGTTAAATTTTAATCTCAGATGAATAATGAATTTTATTTTAATGTATGTCCCAAATATTGCATGGGACATACCTATGCTAAACAATTGATCAATCAATCGTGGTTTTTCTAAATTTAAGTGTAACTGGGCATCCTGAGTTTGGAGAATTTTTGTTAGCTTGTGTGTTTGTTAAACTCAGCCACCCTTCTTTGGAAGCTATTAGAAAACAAATCTCTTTCCTCATTCATTTCAAAAAACATATGTTCATATTTTCTAAGAACATAACAGTAGAAGAGAGTCTCCTGGTTACAGGGTAAAAGTCTCTCCAATAATGCATGCAAGTAGAAGAAAAAAAGAAAGAAGTGGAGAATCTGTAACTTAAAAGAAATTGAACCTCTCTTCTTAATCAATAACATATGGATCATTTGTAAGTTTATGCAAACCTTGTTTGGTCCTATTTATTGCATTCATTCATTCATTTATTCAACAAACAGGTATGAACTTGTCATGGGGGCTCTAGGTTCCTCTGGGGAGTGACAAATGCTGAATGCATACTATTCAATATATAACACTGTTCTGTCATTTTTGCCCTCAAATGCTTTCTTCCAACTTTGAAGGGTGCCTAAGTGCTCAACAGTTTTAGAATTCTCTGCTGACCTTTTCCTAGGTTTTTCCTCCCCACACAAAACAGATACAAATACAGTTCACTGTGAAGACTCGGGTTGGCTCTGGGATGGGAGTGGGTTTGGATTGGTTGTGTGGTGTGAGCTGCAGAAGATGAGAAATGAGCATACTGATGTGATTCCCTATTAGTGAGGAAAATTCTAAGAAACTGTTCCCAAAGCAAGGCAGTAAGAGGATTTTTCTCTTCTATTAGACTTATATAACTCATAAAATAACAGGCTGCCATTTTAGAATAGTTGGTATTGGCATGCTGTTATTGTGAAAATTACATGAAACTATTCTTTTTAGAAAATATTACTTCAGGTTTTAGGTTAAAGCTTGATGCCAATGGGTTTACACAATTATCGCCTTTTTCTTAGAAATAAGGGCAAAACCTCAAAACATGCCACAGCAGAAAAGCTATTTCTGTCACTGGCTAACAATTGAAGGACATCCATAAACCTTTGGAAATTAATATCCCTCAGGAAAATCTATTTGACAAAAGTCACAAGGAAGTTATTAACTAGAGTTAAGTCACTGGCAAGAGGTATTATTAATGATCTCATCAAAATTTCAAGTGCATTTAACTATCAGGTTGCAAGCCTTATTATTGACGACTCAGAATATTAAATTATTCTACAGTAGTTACGTGGCTAGAGATCAAATGCAAAAGAGATGAAAAGCTTAAATGCTAGGTAATTTCATAATTATTTAGACTTCATACAATTAAAAAGTTAGAATCATTAGCCTTTCTGTCTTCCTCTGTCCCAAATCTAGCTATCACTAATACAGTCAGTTTCTTTTCATTGTTAATTGTTCCCTGTTTCTCTTCCAAATGCTGATGCAGGAACCGTGAAAGTCAGAGAAATCCTCCAAGCCTTGGTTTTCCAAAAGCAGTTCAGGAAGCTCAGTTTATTTTCAGATTGGAAGAGACACTTTCAAGCACACTGGGCATTGAATTGCCATCCATCAAAGACGTTTTCCACAAGGGAAAGGCATGCTCTTTCCCACTCGATTCTCTCTCTCTCTGAAATTTTGTCTCAACTTTCAGGTTGACACCAGTTTCAATCTGTGTTTTGCCTCTATAAGGTCCTCCCCAAATACTAGAGCTTGAGCAAGCACTGAGGTTGGGTAAAAAACTTATACACACACACACACACACACACACACACACACACACACACACAGAGTGTCCAGATTATTATGACCACCTAACGTTTGTAGGCAAATTAGCTATAATTTCGTGCTAAAGTTGCTAGAGGGCCAGACCATTATAAATAGGGAAGCAGGTTGTTTACCACAACAGAAGTGATTTTTTTCCTGAAGATATGGGTAAACAACGTGATTTAACAGCCTTTGAACGTGGAAGTGAAAGTGAGGGACAGTGTAGGTAAGAAGAGCAGGAGAAACACATGCTGTGATGTAACTTTTCTGGGATCCTCAACTTCTCTGCTGAATCTTCTTGTCACACTAAATGCTCAGCGATCTTATTGGACTTCTTGTGAACTCCAGTGAAGGACAGCTTCTGTATTGCAGAAGCCCAAGC